AATTTCCATCGTAAATGTGTAGACAAATTTACCAAAGGTATATTAACATTAGAGGAAAATGTATTTTTAGCGAAAAAAATAACTTCATACTTATGCGTAAGCGTGACATATAATAGTATAGAGAGTGGAATTTTTTCGAAAGTTAAATAAATATAAGAATAAGTTAAATAAAACATTACAACAAACGAAATTAATAAAACGAAACGAGTTTAAAAACGATTTATTTCTTAAATATTTGTTAAGGGGGTTGCCACCTGCTTAAAAAATTTAATTACAAATTCAACCAATTTTCCCAGTATAGCTGCCGTGCGAACGGCATTTAAAAAGCTTTAGTGCAAAAAAATATTTATAAGAGGACTGCGCTCTTTTTAAAAAGAGATGAATTAAATTTTTTTATATGAAGTATTACACAGCGCCATGCACAGCTTGAACATGTAAACTGTAAAGTATGTACTGATATCTGGACAAACAAGAAAGCGAGTGCGACACCTTCCGAAAAAAAATTGCTTTGAATCAATGGTAAGTCCCGGCTACTTCAAACTTTCACTTTGTTATTCTAAAATTTAACGGACTATAAAACTGCATACTCCACATCTTTGTGAATCTAATTAAAAAGTGCGGCATTTCTATGTAAGTTTGTAGAGTTTTTTTTTTTAAATATTGCACAAAGTTCGAAACTTGGATTTTGTTAAAGAATGAACTACATTTTTATAAAAAAATAATTAAAATGAAATAATAAAAAAATAATAGTCAAAACTTGTCAATATGTGCGGGAGTATAATTGTTATAGTTAAGCACTTATTAATATTATCACGACAGACATTTTTTCAATGAGTTTGTAATATCATTTATCAACCGGATCATCAGTGCACCAAAAATTTGGCTTGATCTGTCAGACGTTCGAAGCCTCAAAGTGTTCGCCTGGTCAAGAGCTTTTAAATAAGTTCTGGCCTTTTCAAAAATCCTATATGGCGCCTGAAAGCCACGTTCTCATGGCACATTCAACAAAAACTATGGTAAAAATGTTCAAATGCCTATTCAGATTTTTTCTATATCTGACTTCTGCTGTTTTAGGAACACACCTTCTAGTCTACCTTCGTACGACAGACCTTTGGAAATATCTTCCAACGGGCAGATCTTATTTAAAAGGCACTGCCACAGCGTAGTATAAAAGTGCGTGATTTTTGTTCGTCGATGGCGAGCTCTGCTTTCCAATTTCTTACCGAGCCGAAAGTAGCATTTGCTGGCAAGAATTACTATTTGTTTCTGCTCTTTGCATCGTTCGTAGGTTATGAGCGCAAACCAAAAGTAGTTGTCAAGTTCTCGAAACCCTGCAGCCTCGCGTTCGAGTCCGCACCCTTGCTGTCTGCTTCATCAGTAAAATCAGCACGTCTTCTAATGGTGCGCCTACCAAAAGTGCGCTTTCTTTGACGAGTCTGTCTACCTCCTCGTTGCCTATGACGCCTGTGTGCCTCGGCGACCAATACTGGCATCGTGAACACATCAGCTTATTATTCAGCCAGGGCTACTGCGCACGCTAACATACCTTTCAGGAAAGAACGGTGCGATATTAATGCTTTTATAAATATCAATAAAGATATTCAAAGTTCCATTTATTTGGTTATTATTCAATACATCCGCCTCCTTTCTACATGCACCGCGTCAGCCATTCTCATACCGTCCCGTCAGCTTTTTACCAAAATAGTGACTTTCATATTCGTTGCAAAGTATGTAGGTGAGAGATCACATACTGGGACCACAGTGCCTGTAGTAAAACTGCCCCGTGGCAGTAAGCTTGGAAGAAGTTTTAAAAGCTATATTCTTGGCCATCAGGTCCAACGGCAGAATGTGCAGCAGTCCGTAGACTGCTGTCGCCGATTGGTTCTGAGTGACCCTGTCATGTCAATCTTATATAGATAATCCATATACACTCTCTACACTTTTCAGAAAAGTTTTCTCTTCATTGCTCTCCACCAGACCAGTATCCCATGGAATAATGCCAGGCTGAGAGTTGCCATAAAGATCACATATTACAGAGAAGGGTATAGGCCACTGATGTGGCGGAGGATTTTTTTTCGTGCAAAGAATTCAATTGAGACTTGGTGCTAGTTTTCTTAATCCACATTAATTAGGCAACTATTTTTTAATCCTATTTTAAACCCTTAGCGAGGAGAATAAACTTAAACGGAAGTCCAATACCTTAAATGATACACCTTAATCCGATACCCTGGTTTCATACCCATGCACACTTTTACATAAAATTTTCAAATGGAAAATTGACAAGGCAAAGGTGGAAATGGCCTCACGATCTTACAAATGCATGTGCATACATACTTCTGCATAAACAAATAATCCGTTACACTTTTCTTGGCATAAACCTGGTTTTCACTATGCCAAAAACTTTGTTGAATTCTCGCTAATTATTTCCGATACCCTTAATGAAATTGGCCAAAACCATGTACAACTGAAGACTAGGAGGGTAGACGGGCAGCTCTGATAAGAGTACACTTGCAGGCTGCATAGGTATATTGTGAAAACGTATGCATTTTGAAGTGTATTAATTCGTATACTGATTTTTAATAACATTTGAAGTAGTGTTTTCACTGAATTGACGACAAATGTCAATGAATTTATCATAGTGTAAACAAACCTTAAGAAATTAATCTTATTCATGCCGCCAGTAACCAGTTCCCTATACAGTCAACATCCCGTTGCTCTTTTTAATTCATACTTACTTACATATCCTTAAACTATGTATATTGTACATACATACATATCATATATGTATATAAAGTACAATATACGTGTAAACACATTAATGTAGATAATGAAAGTAATCATAAATGGATATCGAATGTCAAATAGGGTGCAATACTATATACCTATAAAAGAAGCTTTCATATTAAATGTGGGTGGCCACTGCGTACTTAAGAAGCAACATTAAGAAAATCAAAAAAACACTCTTATGCGATAGCATGTATTGAACAGTAACAGGAAGCCCCATAAAAAATTATTATTTTTCCACTTCATTATTCGAAAAAAGAGAACAATGTCGCTGGGCGTTTGGTGTTGTCGTCGAAAATCGTTGGTTGGTTGGCTTATTTTTAAGCAACTCAGCTGCAAGTGAACAAAGAAGTGAAGAAACAGAGCAAAGAAAGCGGTAAGAGGCTATCGGCTTACAATGTCTCAAGCAGCAAGAGAAAAGCAAAATCCGGCAGTTCGACAAGCAGTAAAATAGGTAAGATAATACGTAAGTGAGCTGCAATGATATATAGGGGTAGGAGTAGCCAAGTGTGCTTGTATGCATGTATGTTACATTAGATCGTGCCACCTTACAAGTATCATAAAATACCAAAATAAAAATACGAACAAAAGATTAGCATTATGGAAAATAATGAAGGTGAAGGTGAAGATGAATATAAAGATAAAGATAACGACAAAGATAAAGGTAAATATATAGATAAAGTTATAGATTAAGATAAAGATAAAGGTGAAGATACAGATACAGCCAAAGAAAATGAAAAAGATACACATAAGGATGAAGATAAACATTAAGATAAAGATACAAATAAAGACAAACATAAAGATAAAGACAAACAAAAAATCAAGTCAGCAAGATGAGAGGAATGAGAGAAGTTGTAAGAATTCCAACAAAAAAAAACCAGCTAGCACAGAGTCCCATTTATCTTGACATACTTTTTTGCAAAATATTTGCGTGAGTTCAGACGTTGCTTACCTTGCAGAAATGGGAAATGCTGCTTCCCATGCAATCCGTGCTACGTGCAATGGCTTTGCAAGATTTCGGGAACATCTCTATTGCAAACTTCTTCCTTTCTGGAACTTTCGACCCCAAAAAGGTTTTTTTCGGAAAGTTCTACTGGAATAGTCGAAATACATACTTCCATATGTAGCCATACACGACACACTTATGACTACGATCGGTATGCGTCCCCTCGCCATACACGACACACTTGTGTCTAAGATAAATCCATATTTAGGCAATAAATTATTCCAACTTTGGGGGTTTTCCAATTTTATTTTTATAACTGTCACTTATTATTTTCCAAATGGGAGTTTCTCCCTTTTTCGGTATTTTTTTTTATCTTTCTCCGTGATGTTCACGACACAAACAAAATGAGAAATTGTGTGTACAAAACGCCATACACGACAAACTTGTGTGCATACGGATCGGTAAAAATTTTCGCCAACATGGATTTGCATGCATACAGGGCCATACACGAGTAAATTTCACTTCAACGTAAACACAAGTATGTCGTGGATGGCCACTTTTAGCTAAAGTTTAATAATTTTTGGTGAGCTTTAATTTACTGACAACAGGGTGGTACGTTAAGGTGATAAAAACTGAGACTGGTGGATAAGTACTAGAACGGGGTACTTGAGATCAATGATCTTTGGAAAAGAGGAACATCGATATATCTTTAAGCTCCTCCTCTAAATGCCAAAAAATGTAAAAAGGCGACTCCTGCGTTCAGCCAAATAAAATTTTTTTTCCAAATTCCCTTGTAAAAGTACTTTACATTTGAAGGGGCACGGCGAACTTTTTTTCTGGTGCGGTCTAATGTACATACATATACCTATAGATACATTGTATATGTGTGTATGTGCAGTTGAAATTCCAGTAAACGGCTGCTTGTTCGATCGGCTGGATATTTGGTTGGTTAAATGGCTTATAGATGCTCATTCAAAGGACGGCGCATGTTGCGAGCGGCTTAAGTAAACGCAGAGTTTACCCGCACACACACATATATGTATATGTATAGTAATATGACGACCGACTACATTACTGTGCCGGATTTGCAAAGAGGAAGAACAGCGGAAAGTAAGAAATATTTAAGAACCATTTCGAATGGCATTCAAGGGATATCGCCTGTGGCACATTGTGTTGCAAGCTAGTGGATTATGTACACACTCGAATTGATGATATTATATTTGTTACATTACATGCACACTGTAAACGATGACAAGTGGACGGAACTTACCCAAGGCATGACACTGGAGAATTTTCGTGCGTCCTTCACTCACTATCGAACCGGACGAGGAGGGTTGTGTGGTAAAGCGCGGCGCTTGCAATTGTGGGCCATCTGTAAGCAAGAAAAAAAAACAAGAAAAATAAGAATATGAAAAAATAAAGCAAATATGCTGCTGCATTTAAAAGGCAGAAAAAGGCAGTCACTAAAAATATCAAGGTAAAATGTAGCATTTTTCTGAAAGCAGCTAAGGTAAATATTTAATACAAAATCAATTGAAGCGAGCACAACGGTACCTACTGCATTTTATGACTAAATTGCGGTTGCACGAAATTTCTACAAATCAATTCACCTATCGGCCATTTGATAGTTTCCAGTTGGCTACAATAGGAAAAAAGTAAAAGTAATTTCGTAAATGTTTGATAAGCTCACAACCCTTTTGCATTAAAAGTTTACGGACCCTTTTGGTTTGTTTGCTGTTGGTTGCACTCTTTCGATTTGATTGGTTTCGTTTTTTTTTTCAGTAAATTTTAAAATATTTTCCTTAAATGCATTCATTGACGTGTTCGATGCTGATGAAATTGTTGCCTTAAATTTTTTACTTAAAAACAATTACAAGTAGTGTCAGCAAGTGTGCCCTTACACAGCTTACCCATTCAGCACACACAGAAGGTGACATGATGGTATTGACCAGTGGTAGCGACACTTTCATAAATAAATAAATGTGTAAAACTGAACGAAAAAAATGTTTCAAAAGAACAAAGCGTTTGCGTATTATTGATGGCGGCCACAAAATACATAAATGATGTAGGTAAATGTATGTGTGTACATATTATGTATTTATTTATGAACAAAAAAGTCCACCATTGAACACAATGTTTCAACAAAGAAACGAAAAAAAAAAAATTAAAAATGATTTGCTTTGAAAAGGCTAAAAAAAATCATATACTTGTACATACATACGTATGTATTTGCATATGCACATTTACCAAGTATATATCAATGCTTATGCGATGTAATTAATACGTACAGATTATTTTAAAAATCAATTTACTACTGTGCTTATAAAAAATTAACTAAAAAAATAAAGTAAAATAATCAAATAGTTTAATGAGAAAGCGTAACAAAGGCATTTATGTATTTACATTAGGGTGGTCCAAAAACAGTAAAGACGGAATTGTAATGCTAACACGCCCTAGGATTTTTCTATATCGAAAAAAGTATACCGCTATTTTACAACGCTTTTATCAACTTGCAATGTTGTGTTCCAGAAACTTT